CATCTTCTTCGTCTTCCTCTCGTACTCATCTTTCCGTATTCAAATTCAGGTCTGGTATCGCAAAGCAAACAGAACCCAATTCTCAAGAGTCAAGACCCATTCCTCCTCCAACTCGAATAACCCAACTCGATTTTGCTACTTGTTTCGCGCCGCCTTTTTTGGGTTTATCTAAATTCTGTTTCTTGCACATTTGTTAGGAGTCTTTGTTGATTTCTAGCTGATCCGATACAATTTGTGACAATCTAGAGAAAATTTTCAACAGGATGATGGATCCTGAGCTGTTTAGAATTTCCCAAGAACAGATTAGTCGCATGTCACCTGCTGAGTTAGCAAGGATCCAGGAACAGGTTTCTCTCTTCTTCTTTTTTGGGGGGGGGGGGGGGGGGTGTGATTGGTTGTAGATAAAGTTTCTGCTTGGAATCTAAATTGTGCTGATTCCTTCAGATAGGAATCTCAAAACCCACGTAGGATTTTGCTAAACAAGCCATGTTTTCAATTTCGTGGTAATATTGTTCTTAGACTGTTTATATTGAAAGCATAATTGTATGGAGGAATCGTTTTCGTATAGCTTTTTCTTTTGCTTTTACTTTTGCTTTTGCTTTTGTCTCCTCCTTAAGATTTGTGATCAAGGAAATCAGTGTGGAACTTGGATTTGTCTTTATTCTTCCTGTAAACATCTTGTTCTTTCAAACCCAATTGTGGAAATTGGTGCGATTAAATTAATTTTTTATTGCATTCTAAAGTTATTAATTTGGTAAGCTGTTTCTGTTGCATTTTGTCCTTAAGTATGTGGGTTTATGGTGAATTTTTTGGAATGTCAGATGATGTCTAATCCCGAGTTGATGAGAATGGCCTCAGAAAGCATGAAAAATATGAGGCCTGAAGATTTGAGACATGCTGCTCAACAGTTGAAGCATACACGTCCTGAGGAAATGGCTGAAATTGGTGAGAAAATGGCCAATGCATCACCTGAAGAGATAGCTGCTATGCGTGCCCGTGCTGATGCTCAGATGTCTTATGGATTAAATGCAGCTGAGATGTTGAAGAAACAGGTGACTCATTGCCATTCGGAATCATATCTTTGTTATTATATTTTTCAATTCTAATCATTATTATTTGAAACTGTTATTAAGAAAATACTCCACTTCTTCTTTATGTTTCCGGTTTTGTGTAAAGAAAGGGCTTACCTGCTGGCTTATAAACTATTTTCTGTCTTTTGATTCGATCTTTAAGTTATTTGTAATTGGTGGGCATTATATTTTGTCATCTTACATGAATTTAAATGTAAATATGGTAGGGAAATGTGCTTCACAGCCAAGGGAGGTTCAATGAGGCATTGCAAAAATATTTGCTAGTAAGTGAGCAGTTTACCTTTTATCAAATTTTGTTTTACACAAGATGAGGTTTCATAGTTGATTGGCATTCCATTTTTGAAGTAACAAAAATTTTGTTTGCCTTTTCACATTCTTAGGCGAAGCAAAACCTAGAAGGAAATCTATCCTCCCAAGGCAGAACACTTTCGCTGGCATGCTCTCTTAACTCGATGTCTTGTTACTTGAAAACAAGGCAATATGACAAATGCATAAAAGAAGGGTCAGAGGTAAGATGAAGCTACTGTTTCAACTGGTATGATATAGGCTTGTCATAAAAGATAGCTTATGTACTTTATCCCTTTACTCTAGATAATAACATTCACCAATTATATTGAAATTGAATTCTGAGACAAGTAGAAAAGGAATAACATTCATAAGAGTGCTAACATATATGTTAGGAATAACAAAAAGAACCCCTGTTAAAAGGTTTATCTTTCCAATTGCACTTGTAAGATTGAGTACTCTCTTTATAAACTGATTATTTAATATTAAATTGCTTCTTTTTCTATTTTTGTTCACCATCTGCATTATTCTCTCCTATTTCAGGTTCTAGCATCCGATGGCAAGAATGTGAAAGCTCTGTATCGACGAGGTCAAGCATATAAAGAAATAGGTCAATTGGAAGTAAGTTTCTATAAAAGCATATGTACCCGCATAGAATACATTTATGCACACACTCATCTGTGCACACTTTTTTATCAGATTTTCGACTATGCCATCATCTGCTTATCCGCTTTTTCCTGACGAACTTTTGAAATATATTAGGCTGCCGTACAAGATCTAACCAATGCACATGAAGTTTCTCCTGATGATGAAACAATTGCAGAGGTCTTGAGGTATGAAATTATTTGAGTTTATTCAAATGGAATGAGAATATTTTAGATTGCAGTTGCAATGTTGCATTCACATGTATTTTTTGCCTTTTGTATTAATTCTCTGTCCACTAGGGATGACTGCTGAATTCTTTCATATTTTGTAAAATCCAGTACGTAGTTTCATTCAATGGCAACTATCAAAAAATAAAAAATAAAAAGTTTCAGTAATTGATACATGTCTTATTCTAACTTGTCAATTTTCAAGGCTTCTTTCTATCCGACTTCTTCACTGGGCTATTCTGGAGTTTGTTACCCTCGTGATTTATTTTAGAATATTTAAGATATCAACTTTGGTACATTTGTAAGGTTTTTTGTTAGAATTTAGGTGGCAAAGTGAGACTGAAGAAATGGAATTTGCATTTAATTTTCTTATTGGTTAAGATTGTCAATTGGTGGGTACAGAAATGCTAAGGAAAAGTTGGCTAGAGAAGGCAGTTCCCAGGCACCTGGAAGTAAGTTGTACATTCTTTTTCAGTTTCTTTTTTTCTTTTCTGGTAGAAAATGCTTAGGTGCTGAAAACCCAGAGGATTTATATCCTTAAGGTTCAGTTTTTTTATTGACCACCCTGTGTTGCTGTTTGGTAGAATTGGTTGTTGAAGAAATTACTGAAGAAGAGACTGTGTCTTCTGGAAACCACGTTAGTTCTTCTGGACAATATTCTGCAAAACAACCACAGGAAAGTACTAGTTTCTCAAAGGACAAGAGTAGGTCAAATGGAGGGGGCTTAAAGACCAATTTGGAAGGTTTGGAAGCTATAAGAGATGATCCAGAAGCTATTAGGTTTGTATGCATTTTTCGCAGTATCATTTGTTAGGTAATCTCTTTTAATATGACATGAAGTATCCGCACAATTGTCTAAACATGCACTTGGTTGTGACATGATCATCATGTGTCTAGGTTTGCTTTACTTTGATCATGTTGATATGACTTTATAATACTTGTCAAGGAAGTTAATGAAAATCAGTGTTAAAATCTAGGTGTACAAAGTCTGACATGCTATATCCCCAAAACCCTTTTTCAAGTTGAAGAAGCATTGATGTTCAACCCACAAATCCTTAATTCCTTAGGAAGTTTACCTTATACCATGGCATTTGTCCTTACACTCCATTGAATCGTTTTCATTCTGTAGAATCAACAAACTTTTTAATGTCTTATTTTCTTCCATTGTTCCTTATGATTTTCAGATCATTCCAAAATTTCATTTCTAATGCTGATCCCAACACCCTCACTGCCATCAGTGGTGGGAAAGCTGGAGAAGTATCACCTGACATGTTCAAAGCTGCCTCAAATATGATCAACAAGATGTCACCTGATGACCTCCAAAAAATGCTTAAATTGGCTTCATCATTTGAAGGGGAAACCCCATACAAAGGTTCCTTAGAAAGTGGCTTTGGGCCTGGATCAGTTCCTCCAAATGTGACACCTGACATGCTTAAAACTGCAACTGATATGATGAGTAAGATGCCACCAGAAGAGCTTCATAAAATGTTTGAAATGGAATCTTCTTTGAAAGGGTCAGACTCCACTCCAGCCGCAGCGGCTGCTGCAAACACTCGCAGGGTAAATTCAGATGCAAATTCCAGAGTGTCAGAATCTTTGAAGGATTCTGCCAGTAACAGGAATAATAAAGTCGGTGAAACCAGTTCTTCTGGTGTTCTTCCAAATTCGAGGAATGCGTCTGAGTCAAATTTCCCAGTATCAACAGCTGATTTACAAGAACAAATGAGAAACCAAATGAAAGACCCAGCAATGCGGCAGGTATGAAAATGAGTCTTACACGACAATGGGTGTCTGTTATCCTTAAAAATATGGTTTACCATGTTGAGGCTCTCAAAAGATAATCAACTTTATTAAATTATCTCTAATTGATATCAAGTTTTTTCGAAGGCCAAAAAAAATATATATCATGGTTTTTCTGAGAGTCTTGCATACTCATGTAGTTAATGGAAAGATGTCTGTCCTGAATCTACTTGCAACCCAAGAATAAAATTTAATTCACTTTGCTTTTGGGAACTTAAACGTTCCATTGCTTGTTAAATTTGCAGATGTTCACATCCATGATGAAAAATATGAGCCCAGACATGATGGCAAACATGAGTGAACAACTTGGACTGAAGCTTTCTCCAGAAGAAGCTGCAAGAGCTCAGCAAGCTATGTCATCTTTATCGCCAGAAGGCTTGGATAGAATGGTAAATATATTACCCTGTTTTCGCTTTCTTTCTTTCTCTCTTTCTTTCATTTTTTTTTTTTACATGCATCATTCATAGAGTACACGAGGGCAGAAAGCTTCAATCAGTTGCCAAAAAAAAAAAACATTTTCATACATCTCATTGTTAAAAGGAATCTCATTTGGCTTTTTGTTATGGAGATCTTTTTATCATTATCATTGCATCAATGACCAGCATAAAATGATGTTTCCCCTAAATTGTTGCAGATGCGTTGGGCTGATAGGATCCAAACTGGAGTGAGTCATGCACAGAAGATAAAGAACTGGCTGCTTGGCAAACCTGGTATGATTCTGGCAATTATCATGCTCATCTTAGCTATTATCTTCCACTGGTTGGGCTACATCGATCGTTAAAAACTCAGAATTGGCAATCATCCACATCTATCATGAATCAGTCATTCAAGTTTCAACCTCTAATTTAGCTCGAGCCAGGATACAACTGCCTTGCCATCTTTTTAAAGAAGATTGAAACTCAGAGAGAAACACATTTCTGGACTGTAGCAAAAGTAAGGTAATATGTGTCATCACTAAATGCCTCAGCTCTTACCTGGGAGAGTAAGAATGCCAAAAAGGGACCTCAAAACGGAGGTCCAAATCAAATTTCGTATGATCTGTCATTGTTCATTAATGATTTATGTCAATTTCATAAACATAAGGTTGTATTAGGTTTAGGGTAGAATTGCATATTTCTCTATTAATTAATTCATATTTGTTGATTATGACATGAAACTAATACTATTGTGACATACATTTAAAGTTTTTAATGCCATTTGCTAGTTGGTGCACTTCACAAAAAACAACCAGCCTACACTAGTTGAGAAAGTCAATCGGTTATGAACCTTTATAAAATGTGCAGTTGCCAATCTTAAGTGCTGGATTCAAATTTTCTTCCTCCAAATTTGTACTTGTTTAAAAAATAAATAAATAAATAAACAACCAACCCTTAATTATGCTTAGGAAGAAGAATGGTTGTGAAACCAAATGTGGTAGAAAGAATCATGGTTTCCCAATAAGAAATTGTCTAAAGCAATAAGGTCTAAATCTTAGGTTGCCCTCTCTATTTTAACAAATAATAGTAATAATAATAATTTCTATTTAAGAAAGTTGATTTTTGGTCTTTAAAATTTATTATTTGATAATATTTTAGTCCTTTTTTTTTTATTAAACTCAAGGATTTGAAAATAATATTGAATTCAATTTTCATATGGGAAAAACTCTTTTAAAATTTATTTTTTTATTTATAAAATTTAAACTCAAAACCTTATTTAAGGTAAAATAAAATTCTTTTTCTTTAAACTAATAAGTTTTTAGTAATCCTTTTATTATTTATTTACATATAATGCAAAATTTTTGAATTTGAAATCATCTAAAAGGTTTTTTATTTTAAAATTTTAATTATTTAATGTATTATATATGTAAAAAAATAATAAA